GCGCTCGCTTCCGGCTTGAGCGGCGTCGCCATCATTGTCGGCGTAACGGCGCGGTGCATTTTAGGACGCGTCACGTCACTGGTGACGTCACTGATGACGTCATCAGTGACGATGACGATGCGTCCCCAGATATATTGACGTTATCAGTGACGATGACGATGACGTCACACGTGACGTCACTGATAAAGTCACTGATGACCTCATCACGATAACGATGACGTCAATGTGACGACGCAACCATCATCGTCACGTGACTTCACAGGGGTCACGTTACCCCCGTGAGGCCACGTGCCCCTAGTGAGGCGACAGCGACGCCGCTCGGAGGAAGGAGTAGGAGACAGGGTGAGGAGGTGAGGAGGAGGGAGGAGGGCTATACCTTCCCCTCAGTGTTTTCCCTCCTCCTCAAGACCTGCGCTCTAATTCGGCGTTAGAGGGGGTTGTACAGGGGGCGCCTTGAGCGGCCTGGGCGGCTTGAGCGGCCTGGGTGGCTTGAGCGGCCTAAGCGGCTTGAGCGGCCTGGGTGGCTTGAGCGGCCTGGGTGGCTTGAGCGGCCTGGGTGGCTTGAGCGGCCGGGGCGACTTGAGCGGCCTGGGTGGCTTGAGCGGCCTGGGTGGCTTGAGCGGCCTGGGTGGCTTGAGCGGCCGGGGCGACTTGAGCGGCCTGGGTGGCTTGAGCGGCCTGGGTGGCTTGAGCGGCCGGGGCGACTTGAGCGGCCTGGGTGGCTTGAGCGGCCTGGGCGGATTGAGCGGCCGGGGCGACTTGAGCGGCCTGGGTGGCTTGAGCGGCCTGGGTGGCTTGAGCGGCCTGGGTGGCTTGAGCGGCCGGGGCGACTTGAGCGGCCTGGGTGGCTTGAGCGGCCGGGGCGACTTGAGCGGCCTGGGTGGCTTGAGCGGCCTGGGCGGATTGAGCGGCCTGGGTGGCTTGAGCGGCCGGGGCGACTTGAGCGGCCTGGGTGGCTTGAGCGGCCGGGGCGACTTGAGCGGCCTGGGTGGCTTGAGCGGCCTGGGCGGATTGAGCGGCCGGGGCGACTTGAGCGGCCTGGGTGGCTTGAGCGGCCTGGGTGGCTTGAGCGGCCGGGGCGACTTGAGCGGCCTGGGTGGCTTGAGCGGCCTGGGCGGATTGAGCGGCCGGGGCGACTTGAGCGGCCTGGGTGGCTTGAGCGGCCTGGGTGGCTTGAGCGGCCTGGGTGGCTTGAGCGGCCGGGGCGACTTGAGCGGCCTGGGTGGCTTGAGCGGCCTGGGTGGCTTGAGCGGCCGGGGCGACTTGAGCGGCCAGGGTGGCTTGAGCGGCCTGGGCGGATTGAGCGGCCTGGGTGGCTTGAGCGGCCTGGGTGGCTTGAGCGGCCTGGGTGGCTTGAGCGGCCGGGGCGACTTGAGCGGCCTGGGTGGCTTGAGCGGCCTGGGTGGCTTGAGCGGCCTGGGAAGCTTGAGCGGCCGGGGCGACTTGAGCGGCCTGGGTGGCTTGAGCGGCCTGGGTGGCTTGAGCGGCCTGGGTGGCTTGAGCGGCCGGGGCGACTTGAGCGGCCTGGGTGGCTTGAGCGGCCTGGGTGGCTTGAGCGGCCTGGGAAGCTTGAGCGGCCGGGGCGACTTGAGCGGCCTGGGTGGCTTGAGCGGCCTGGGTGGCTTGAGCGGCCTGGGTGGCTTGAGCGGCCTGGGAAGCTTGAGCGGCCGGGGCGACTTGAGCGGCCTGGGTGGCTTGAGCGGCCTGGGTGGCTTGAGCGGCCTGGGTGGCTTGAGCGGCCTGGGTGGCTTGAGCGGCCGGGGCGACTTGAGCGGCCTGGGTGGCTTGAGCGGCCTGGGTGGCTTGAGCGGCCGGGGCGACTTGAGCGGCCTGGGTGGCTTGAGCGGCCTGGGTGGCTTGAGCGGCCGGGGCGACTTGAGCGGCCAGGGTGGCTTGAGCGGCCTGGGCGGATTGAGCGGCCGGGGCGACTTGAGCGGCCTGGGTGGCTTGAGCGGCCTGGGTGGCTTGAGCGGCCTGGGAAGCTTGAGCGGCCGGGGCGACTTGAGCGGCCTGGGTGGCTTGAGCGGCCTGGGTGGCTTGAGCGGCCTGGGTGGCTTGAGCGGCCTGGGTGGCTTGAGCGGCCGGGGCGACTTGAGCGGCCTGGGTGGCTTGAGCGGCCTGGGTGGCTTGAGCGGCCGGGGCGACTTGAGCGGCCTGGGTGGCTTGAGCGGCCTGGGTGGCTTGAGCGGCCGGGGCGACTTGAGCGGCCAGGGTGGCTTGAGCGGCCTGGGCGGATTGAGCGGCCGGGGCGACTTGAGCGGCCTGGGTGGCTTGAGCGGCCTGGGTGGCTTGAGCGGCCTGGGAAGCTTGAGCGGCCGGGGCGACTTGAGCGGCCTGGGTGGCTTGAGCGGCCTGGGTGGCTTGAGCGGCCTGGGTGGCTTGAGCGGCCTGGGTGGCTTGAGCGGCCTGGGTGGCTTGAGCGGCCTGGGTGGCTTGAGCGGCCTGGGTGGCTTGAGCGGCCTGGGTGGCTTGAGCGGCCTGGGCGGATTGAGCGGCCGGGGCGACTTGAGCGGCCAGGGTGGCTTGAGCGGCCTGGGCGGATTGAGCGGCCTGGGCGACTTGAGCGGCCTGGGAAGCTTGAGCGGCCGGGGCGACTTGAGCGGCCAGGGTGGCTTGAGCGGCCTGGGCGGATTGAGCGGCCGGGGCGACTTGAGCGGCCTGGGTGGCTTGAGCGGCCTGGGCGGATTGAGCGGCCTGGGCGACTTGAGCGGCCTGGGAAGCTTGAGCGGCCGGGGCGACTTGAGCGGCCAGGGTGGCTTGAGCGGCCTGGGCGGATTGAGCGGCCGGGGCGACTTGAGCGGCCAGGGTGGCTTGAGCGGCCTGGGTGGCTTGAGCGGCCTGGGTGGCTTGAGCGGCCTGGGTGGCTTGAGCGGCCTGGGCGGATTGAGCGGCCTGGGCGACTTGAGCGGCCTGGGAAGCTTGAGCGGCCGGGGCGACTTGAGCGGCCTGGGTGGCTTGAGCGGCCTGGGCGGATTGAGCGGCCGGGGCGACTTGAGCGGCCAGGGTGGCTTGAGCGGCCTGGGCGGATTGAGCGGCCGGGGCGACTTGAGCGGCCTGGGTGGCTTGAGCGGCCTGGGCGGATTGAGCGGCCGGGGCGACTTGAGCGGCCAGGGTGGCTTGAGCGGCCTGGGCGGATTGAGCGGCCGGGGCGACTTGAGCGGCCTGGGAAGCTTGAGCGGCTTGAGCGGCCTGGGTGACTTGAGCGGCCTGGTCGGCTTGAGCGCCCAGGGTGGCTTGAGCGGCTTGGGCGGCTTGGGCGGTCTGGTCGGCTTGAGCGGCCTGGGCGGCTTGGGCGGTTAGGTTCGCCCGTCTGGCCCACACCGCGCTGAGGCGGGCCTGAAGAAGGGCGCCGGCGAGGTGCGTTGGGAGGTGTAGCTCGAACACCCCTCAGATGGGGGAAGGGATGCGCACGTCTACCTCATTTTAGATGGCCGGCGGCTCCACCGCGTGCCGGTCTTCCAGCCTGAGGCCCCGGAAGGGCTCCGTGACGGCGTCAGCAGAATCACCGCATTCCAGTCTTGGCCGCTCCCAGAAACGGTAATTTGTAGCCATCCTGACTTGCCTCACGTTCGTTAGCCAGGTAGCCACAGAAACTGTTCTCAATGGGGGCTGTCCAAAGCCCCAGTGGTATTTCTGCTGCCAGTCTAGGAAGCGGGCCGCGGTACCCCTGTGATGCCGCAAGTCTTCGATTCCTGCAAACGCGGCGGACAGCACAAAGAGGGGAATTTACGAGTCTGAAGGGAAGGTGAAGGCCAACAGTCTGATGGTGCTTACAATCGTATCCCCTTTGTGGAGACAAAAGGACAGATTTCGTTCGAAAGAGATGTCGTCTCTCAGTCCCTCCAATTAAGAAGAGGGAGTGTAAAAAGAATGGTTCATAGGCGTCTGGTGGGAAGTCATCGCCGGCGCAGGTTGTACTGCCCAAGTGGGGTTTTGCGATCCGGGCTCTGGCTGGAGGCTGCATCGTTGCGGACGTGCGAAGGAACCTTAGGATCGATGCATCGTTCCAGCTCAGACACTTGAATAGGTAAGTACTGCTGCGCCTTGAATAAGTAACGCCTGACACGAGAGCGGCGTCCGAGCCGTAAAGCGTAAAGCGGCCGCCAATGGCTATCTAGAAGCCGTTTCACTCAACCAATGTGAGAATGGGCATTTGTTTTGCGTTCTTTCACGGCTAAAGACGCCCCCGGCTCCGCTCTATGAGATAGTTAAGGCTTTCGCATTAAAGAGCAAACAAAAGTGCGACGTGTTTGCGAAAAAATAAAAACCGACGACGCGAAAAATACGCGTACACGCTAAAAAAAATTATAATAGTAGAAACGCTACCCAGGCGCGATGAAAGTCAAGGAAAACGCAACACAAGACATTGAGAAACACGAACCAACTGGCTGAGTTGACCACCGAAGACGGACGCCGATATTCACGATGGGTACAAGATGCATATGGTTCGGCTTCTACCGTCCGTTTCGATGCCAACCAGGCCAGCCAGAAAGTAATCGAAAAGGTTTCATTTCCGCTGTGGTCCATAGCTTCAGCCACCCGCGATGGAGGGGGTGGTGGTACGTTGTTAACATTTTATAATACCAAGGTTTGACTTGCCCATGAAAGGTGGCGTGGGCAGGAGACGAGCTCTGATGAGGGCTACTGTGGGGGTTTACAAACCCACGCTGTAGTCTGTCCCGGCCTGATATACAGGCGGTCAGCTTGATCTATGCGGCAATCTGGCAGTAGCGCGAGAACTCCGCATCATGGACGCACTCACAGGTTTCATTTTAATGGGCACCGACAGTCGAAAAAACAGAGCGTGACAAGCCCCGTGCACCCTATATTCGTACACCTTATATCCACTTTGCAGCCGGTGTGAAAGTGGCATCAGCCGATAAAAGCTGGGAAGAACCAAACACAAAAACCCGAAACGTAATCAAAATATGTTTAACACACATGCATGAACTGTGAAATACTGTGGTTGATTTTGCTGATTCATTTGTTCTTCGTTTCAGTACAGCAGCGCGAACCATCGCTCGTGTATCCCGCGTTTCTCGAAGGCCGAGGGTTGCCCGGAAGTCGAATCCTTAAGATCAACGAGGACATTACGTTAAACCTAGAAAAAAGTTCTGCCCTAGCCGACGAGTTTCTAGTCAGGAGCTACATTGACGGCATTCTGAAGCACACATATGTAAGTATTGTCCATTGTAACAAGCGCTGAAGAAACTAAAGGCGTGGCGAATCAGGAGAATATAATTATTGCTTACAGCCAGTATGATTGAGGCTAGTGCCGCTAAGAGCGCGAATATTGAATCACGGTACAACAAGCTTGAACATCCTAAGCGACGTCCTATGGTTGACACAAGGGTCATCGACAATACCGAACCATATCTAGGGTGCCTCAATGTCCTTCCGCTTATGGCGATGAGATTCCATGTACGGTCACTTACCGTTTATAAATTGCAGGGTGTGTCTATCAAATGCCTGGCCTTCATCACGCACTTTACGCCTTACGCCGTGCTTTGACTGCGCTAGCGCGCTGGTTGCGCTTGAAACGCCGAAGCCTTGTCCAAGGTCGGAAGCTCGCGCTGGAAGCGGGACGAGTGTAACTCTAGTACACGATACTGACTGCACGCTCTTATAAAGCAGATAAAAGGGATATACGGAAATAATGCCACCAAAGCACACCTAGCAACCTTAGCACAATCAACGCCAACAGGCCGTGCCCGAAAACGCTTTTTTACGCACGGTTGAGAAAAAAAAAAAAAAGGAAGCATTTGAAATAGTTGATAGATTTATGGTTCCGGTTTGAATCTCCGATCGGTACGGATACGATCGCTAAATGACTGGTGCAAAAGCGCGCCCTCGCTTCAAACACAAAAATGCAATTTTGGTTGCCGGAACAGGACGCTGAGGCTGGAAATATGACGGAAATGAACGGTTGTTGTGTACTTGAGGAGCGAAGCGTAAAGTTTGATCAGGAAAAGGTCATAATAAGCGGAGATTAATAGAAGGCAAAAAAGGTACCTAGGCCTACAGTATGTTAACGTGGTAGAGGCTTCGTTGTTCTCTCCGTTTTTTTTTTGTTTTTTTTTTTATTGTTCCTACGTCTCAGGGTTACTATCGAAGACATGTTCCAAAGTTTCATGCTTTTGGCAGAGAAAGGAATCAGTACCCTAGGCAACAAAAGTTTTCGTCTTCTCGAGCCAAGTTTTTACGGAAAGAGCGCTCGTGTGTAACTAAAAGCAATCGGTTTTTTAGAAGGTGGAAGCGGCACTTTTTACACTTTACTTAAAACGTCCTGCCCTAATCCTGCCGTAAACCGCACCTCAAACACAAACTAATGCAATTCCGGTAGCCGGAACAGGACGTAGAGGCTGGAAATACGACGGAAATGAACCGTTCTTGTGTACTTGAGGAGCGACGCGTGAAGTTTGGAGAGAAAAAGATGGGTAATAAACGGAGATTAGTAGAAAACAAAACGATATACCTAGGCATATACGATGCAGAAGGGGTAGAGGCTTTGTTGTTCTGTCCGTTTTCTTATTGTTCCTACATCTCAGGGTTACTATCGAAGACATGTTCCAAAGTTTCATGCTTTTGGCAGAGAAAGGAATCAGTAGCCTAGGTAACAAAAGTTTTTCTCTGCTCAAGCCAAGTTTTTACGGAAAGAGCGGTCGCGTGTAACTAAAAGAAAACGTTTTTATAGAAGGTGGAAGCGGCACTTTTTAAACTCTACTTAAAACGTCCTGCCCTGATCCTGCGGCAAACCTCGCCTCAGCCCCTGAGCCTGCTTTAAATCTCGCCTCGAACAAAAAAAAAATTCAATTTCGGTAGCCGAAACACGACGTTGAAACTGGAAATATGATGGAAATGATCTGTTGTTGTGTACTTGAGGAGTGGCGCGTAAAGTTTGGACAGAAAAAGATCGTAATCAGCGGAAATTAATAGGAAGCAAACAGGTACCTAGGCTTGGACTATGCAGACGTGGTAGTGGCTTCGTTGTTCTGTCCGTCTCTTTTGTATTGTTCCTACGTGTCAGGGTTACTATGAAAGACATGTTCTAAAGTTTCAGGCTTTAGGAAGACAGAAATCGGTGCCCTAAGGAACAAAAGTTTCTCACTACTCAAGCCAGGTTTTTACGGGAAGAACGGTCGTGTGTAACAAAAAGAAAACGTTTTTATAGAAGGTGGAAGCGGCACTTTTTAAACTCTACTTCTAAAGTCTACTGTGACGTTGTCGGTACCTTTACCCGTAGTTCACGCGGCCATCAATATTTGCTAGTAGTGACCGACCATATCACGAATTGGGTCGATGTGTTTCCTTTACGCAAACTGGACTCTAGGAAAATCTGGGACTCTCTTCTCGAGACGTTTGCGCGCTTTGGCTTTTCCTCAACGTTATTACGAACAAAACTTTCTATTTTGTTTGCAAGGTGTTCGTGGATGCGTCTAAAGTGCTAGGGATACAGCACAAACGGACTTCGCCATACCATCGACAGACGAACATCACGGAAAGAGTGAACCGTAACCTGAAGCTGGTGCTTGTAGCGCATACGGAGCGACACAATGGCTGGGACGCAAAATAGGCAGAAATGGCATTCGCTACCCGCACAACAATCAACCGGTCCACGGGTTTCACTCCGTTTCAACTTAACTTTGAGAAAGGGCTCGTGCTTCCTCTGGGAAACGGCCTTCTTTGCACAGATGCTGCAAGTATGCAGCGCACTATCACGCAGTTCGCAAAAGATATCCGTAAGCACTTCACGAAGAACGTGCGGGAAGCTCGAGAGAGCCTCGATATCACGAGACTGCAGCTGGCAAACCAGTACAACAAGGGGAGGAGAAATCTGCAGTTCAAGTTAGGAGCTCTGGTACTGAGGCGAACTCATTCGCTGAGTGATGCTGCTAGAGGCTTCACCGCCTCTTTAGCAAAAAGATGGGACGGCCCCTCCTCTGTTAGTAATAAGCTCTTCAATCTTTCTTATGAGCTGGTGCATTGCGAACCTGGTGAAGTGTGTGGGTCTGTTCATGTCGCCGACCTAAAAGCTTTCTATGAACCCGAGGAGGCAAATGTGCCGCAGGTTCCAGATGGAGACGGTTCGGAAATCCTCTCGGAAGATTCTACACCCTCTCTGCCGCGATACAACTTGAGACAGCGGTGAAGACGACGAAAAGTAGCACCAGCTCTAAGCGCATTATATCCCTACTGAAAAAAACCATTTGGCGCCTATATGAAAATAAACGGGTCCATACCGGTAACAGTTTAACCATACCGGTCACCAGTTTGTCAAAGGGGTCGCCCGTATGGCTCAAAGGGGTCTCCCGTATGAGCCATAAAGGTCACCTATTTGGACAAACAGGTCACTCCTTTGTCAAACGGGTCGCTCCTCTGGGCAAATGGGTCGCTCGTCTGGGCAAATGGGCGACTCGTTTGGGCAAAGTTGTCGCACGTTTGCTCAAACCGGTGACCATGTTGCAAACTGTACCGGTTTAATCAAACGGCAATCGGGAGCCCGTTTGATATTGAACGTACAGATCGGCGGCGTGGGCACGCCCAGCGTTTCAGCCGTGGCAGCCAATGTTTCCGAAAGTCTGGGAGCGCCGGTTCATCGATTTCAGATCGTCCGCGTAATGCAAGTAATTATATTTATATTTCAATTGCGCTGATGTTCGCTTATACTGCAACTAAAACTGACACCTTTTTTTGTTGTTGTTTTACGTAAACGCGCGACGTTGGCGAGCCGATATTTTTAACAAAACTTTAAACTTTTTTCAAACTTTGTTGCCTCAATTTACTTATTCAGCTCGAATCTCTCTCGCAGAAGACGCGACCGCGTGAAAGAATGTACGTCTAGACTCCGTTTCACTTTAATTCAAACGCAGCGAAGGTAGCAGGCGTACACGCGGCTGCAAGAACATCGAGCATTGCAAGAGCACGCCCGCCGTTGCAGCAGTCGAACTACGAGCTCGCGCTGACTACTTTCTTCGCTCGGGCGCAAGCCGAGCTTCAGGCCGCCCCGCCGCCATTTTCAAGGTTCGAGCGTGCTAAAATGCGCGCGCGCGTTTTTTTTTTTCGAGGTTACAAAAACACATCTCACTGGAATGCCTGGGGAGAGGGAGAGGGCCGTCCCTGTGGTCCTCGCCCCCTCCCTCCTCTCTTGTCACCCGTCACGTGATTCGCGGCCGCGCGCGAGCTACACGCTGATAAGCATCGAGATCCGGAAGGGTGCGCCTGACAGGCGCTTTTTTCTTTGTCTGCTTGTTGTCAGTTCCAGGCTTCCAGCTCGAACTTCGCGCGTCCACCTGCTTCGATCTGTCACCTAACCCTGCGGTCTTATTAGGATGCCTCTCGACAACGTATTGGATGTGCGCCAAAGCTATCAGTGTTCAAAAAGTCCTACGTCTATATCGGCAACAAGCAATTCTTCAAAGAAGTCAGGAATTCTCGCGGTTTGGTTGGGTTCGGCAACTGACAGCTTGTGCGCCACATCGTGTTGAAACTTCCAAGAAGCCGTTCCCTCTCATTTGTGTTTGTGTGGTTGTCCTGCTTTAACCGTGTCGACAAATATCGCGGATTACATCTTTCAAGACCGCTATTTTTATGGTAAGTGCACTGCAACCTACTTCTTGACAACGATTGACCGTTCTTCTACTCGTACTCTTCCAGGTTATCTATATAATTATGCAGCCACTATTCTCGCGGCAGCCGGGCGAATAATTTCCCGAAAGTCTACCTTCATAGTCTAGAATTAACTCGGTTCTTGTTTGCTTTGCTATCTTCTCAGTTGTATAAAAGCTTAGAGTGCCTCTCACATTTCACAGATCGTTTGCACGTTTGTACTTGTCTACTCAAGACGTAATAAACTTTGAGGAGAATTGAAAACGATCTTTTGTGTCTGTTTTCCTGCCCATTTGCAAGCACCTACGTGAGCACATTTGTTCTACGTGTTTCCTCCATGTTATAAATAGGTTTGTGAGTTTCGGAACGTCTTAAATAAGTTTAAGATAACCAACCTACCAGACGATCCCCGTTTAGGGCTAGCGCATAATTTGCCTATTCGAATGGCACGTTCAAACGTGTGGTCACGTGCAAGGTCGAACGGGCAGCTGTATCAAACGGGCACCCGTTTCAAACGGGCACCTGTATCAAATGGGTACCGTTTCGAGCGGGTACCGTTTCAAACGGCTACCCGTATCCCATAATCACGTTTGATCCAAACAGGTCGACAAGTTTGCACCCGTTTGATTTACCAGTTTGCCACCCGTTTGAATTTCAAATGTTTTTTTTTCAGTAGGGATTCATGCCCTTTTCGGGTTTTTCGGGGGAGAACAAAATGTAGCCTTGCTCCTGTATGCACAGTGGAGCAAGCATCGTCTATGCCACGCCATGGCCTCATGTTGTTTTAATTTCTAGCTCCTCGTGCCAGACTGTAGCGGCGGCGACGCAGCTCCCATGATCAGACCCGTCAGAGCCATATGGGTACTGTCTGGAAGTACTGACGTCGGGCCCGTGCTCACCCATCTGCGAAGACCCTCGCTGACCCAGAAGGAAGGCCCTCAAGACCTTCTAAGACGCACCCTATAGTTTGGTTTTTGGATGGGGGAGATCTGTGCGCAACCTGGGGATGCAAATCGTTTGGACCATGTTGCTCTTCCGACAATCGTCAGTGGTCATCTCTACCGCGAGGTCGCCAAGGGCAACTGGCCAAGTGAGCGGCGCTTCGCCGCTGATGAAGGGCCGTCGCAGCCGCCTCTGCGCCTCTCGCAGCCTGGAACAAAAGTTCAAGGCTTCGGATATTGAACTAAAAGACTGTCGCAGCCTTAAAGTTCGCGTATATAGTAATATCCTAATCTTCTTAATTTTGGCGTTATCTACAGCGCCTCTTCCCAAAATTTACAGGATGTTTTAACCGCACACACAACTACAAATTTCCCAAAGCTTATTCTCCGGCAAACCATATCACTAGCGGTCCGAACCAAAAGGAAAGTCTTAAAACTAACCGTAATCTCCTTCAAAAGTTATGCGTGATTTGTTAAAAACTTTAGCAGAAAAATTAGACCTGTTTTTGTACGTTTTCGGGAACTGGCGTTATTCAGCCCCATGTATTCGAGAGCTCCGTCGGCAATCATTTTCTTACTGAAACTTTGGGAAAATCACTGACAATGTTTAATAAGATAACGATTGGTTCTGAAACTTTGGCCTCTGGTTCCGGTCGCTAGGGTAACACTTGGGCGGAGAATGAGCATTCTGCAATGCGTAATTTATTTTTGTTGTAAAAAAAACCCCCTCATTTCTTTTGGAAAGGGGGGGGGGGGGGAGGGGGAGGGGAGGGGACAACCTGTATAACTCTTTACACATTTTTTTAATATGTAGCTGGATGGGTCTTATCTAGAAGAGGACCTGTTCCATGATAAAGATAAAATGGCTTCCGTCACCGTATCTGTTGAGGAAGGGGTACAAGTGGTAAGTTGATTTTTCATATTAGCCTTAGTGTAAAGTCATAGCGCTCTTTGTTTGCTACAAATAGCTTTTGCTAAAAAGTACCTAATAAATCATAACGAGAAAATTAAGAAAAACGCAGAGATATTCTAAGGGACATATAATCTAAAGTGTTGTGTCAAATTAAACATACTACGCAGAATTCAGATACTGAGACCTATTAAAGGACATGCTCACGCACATTGTTAGTGTTTAAGAGTAGAAAGCAGCCTTAATATCGTACAGCCTGTGTATCCGTAACCATATTATCCCTATTTTATTAAAACTCTATTTATGAAAAATAGTGATTTAAAATGGGCACTTATAAAATCACATCGTAAAAACATGCTCAGTATATTTTTAAGGGAGGAATTGAATAGATTCATGCTTTCCTACTGAAGGAGATTGATATGCCAAAAGTAAAATAGTGCTGAATTTGTATTTGACATTTGGTTTGTATCGAGGTTTCTGCCCTCCCCTCCCAATGTGCTCCTAAAGAGTGCTGTTCTTGAATAAGAAGAAACAACTTGTTGCTTCATATTCTCCCAACGAAGCAGCGTGATTGTTCAGTTATAAATAATATTTCGCTCGATAAAGTGATAAAGCCTAAGCCTAAAAACGTCCTTGACTTTATTAAAAAAAACGTTAATAGAATTGTTATTTGCTCGCATGTTTTCAGGAAGGAATGATTGGAAATAAGTTAAGGATAATGCCGGCGCTTGAGCAGGAACGGTCATCAGATGGCCGCGTTGCCCATTGGCTACATGAGATCACGGACTCACACGCAGGATTTCATAATGACTACGGTCTGTATTTTAGCACCTAATATCGGCAAATCACTTTACCGCGGTATATTATCTACAAGTATATAAACATTACGTCGTTTACCTAAACTGGAGTGAAACATTACACATTTTAGCAGCGTTCTGTGAAACCTACATACGTTCGGACCACCACCCAACACGACAAGATCTACGCTAATCACACACGTTCAACGCGACACAGGTACCCGCACTGTTCAAAACTCTAGGTAGTCACCAGCAGCCCGTCGCAGCAATGTTGAAGAAGACCCCTGCGGCACGTCCCTGCAATTATAGTACAGGGAGCGGTCGCTGCCTGGAAGAAAGGTGGCGCTTTAAATCGCTGATGACTATCATAAAGAGAGATGCGGGTATTCACTTGGCTCTATAGGTGCCGTCAGAGGCAGTTGGAAACAGGCGCAATCTACAGTCACCGACATCTCAAGAAACCAGACTTGGACGTAGTTCAACTACTCTACTCACACTACTGTAGTTTAACTACTTTTCCGAGTGACTTGGTAACTTTCAATTACAACTTTATTTGGGTAATTAGTAGTTCAATTTAACTACGTTTTTTGGGTAACTTCTACTCAAATTACTAACTACTTTCGAAATCTAACCTTTTCTTCTTTTTTTTTCATCACAAAAGTTTGAGCGCAGAAATAAATAAGACGCGGGCACAATAAGTGGTATTCACGAACAAGGGACCCCCTCACATTACGTCCTCACGCACTTATACTCGGCAGCCGTAGAAACTGCATCAAAGGCGTCCTTGGGCCAAGGTGGTGACGAGCAGCCAAAACATAACACCGGCGCGCACGAACGCAGAGATGCTTAACAAGCCTTGGTCGGGTATTGACCTAATCCGGTAATGCACGCAGGCGCTACGCCTCCAGCTGCAACCGTGAAAGACGGGGACACTCCGAGGGTTGTTGTTGTTTTCATGTTGTGTGCCTTTAGTGAGTGCCGACTCAAGTGGTAGGTTTTACGGTAGGCGCCACTGGAATGACCTCGCAGCTGGGCGCCTGTTCCCATGGTCGCCTCGTCGTCAGCGGACACTCCCTTGCAAAGCCGGACTCCCCCGCTCACAAACGCAGACACGGATAATCCGTTTACGGGAGCACGTTCTCGCCTCCAGCTGCAACTGTACGAGCGCCGATGCATGTTCACGTAATGCTTCGCGTCCTTCCGACCTTCTACGCCAGGGAGTCTTCCTCTTAAGGTCCGTTCACACTCTTGCAACCGAGTACGACCGAGAGAGACCAGACTGGTTTTTAAGCTTCTTGCGACCTCTTAGGACCGGATGCGCTACAGCGGAGCTGGTCCTAAGAGATCGCAAGAGGCTTAAAAACCGGTTTGGCCTGTCTCAGTCGTACTCGGTTGCAACAGTGTGAACGGACCTTTAGTTGAAAACGTTTTACTTGTCAGGCGTGTCAGGCGCGTCAGGATACCGTAGTCGCCGGGGAGGATTTCGAGTCACTTTCGGGAGATCCTTTTGTTTGAGCCAACGTCAACGGCAAAAAGCAATTTTTTTTTTTCAGTGGCGTAGCTATAACACTCGAAGAAGACGCGCAGTCCTCCGGATGATCTCATCGTCGTGGCGCGAGACTTGATCCCTTGACGGTCAGAGGTGCACTCGCTCGGCGAAATCTCCGAACGTCGTGAGAATAAAGAGGGGCCAGTCATAGCAATCTCAACTTGCGGAAGAAAAAAAAAAAAAAAACAGGAGAGTTTCTATAAAAGACCCTCTAGCCGAGGCAAGCCTCACGAGTTCGTCATGGGCACCAAACCAAAGATGCCGACACTAGCTTACCCGACCTTGCACAGCCTGCTTGGCCTGCCTTTGCATCCAGCGCCACGGTGGAACGTCTTCTTAGCTTGACTGAGGACGTCATTAGAAGGAAAAGGGGAAAGCTCTCCGATAACAACTTTGAAAGACAATCGCTTCGGCGAGCGAATGAACTATTTGAAGTGATAAAATTACTGCATCTATTTCAGGCTCGCAGAGTTTTTCACTGAACAAAACTGCTGTTCAATTTGCTGTCACAAAAATATAAAAAAGTAACTTCGAAAGTAACTTCAAAGTAACTCGCTACTTTTTTACAGTAGTTAGTAGTTTACTCAATTACTATTACAAGTGCGTAATTTCTACTTTACTCCAATTACTTTTGGCGTCGATACTCAGTAACTTAACTTAACCACCTTTTTTGAGTAATTTGTACATGTCTGCAAGAAACGCAGTGGGGGTTTATTATGTTCACATTCTTTGGCTTCGTGATTCGTGCTTATGTGTTCGTAGCATCAAATGGCACAACACAATGGGCTTTATAGCGATAAAATTATGATCGCAAGGCGCCACTCTTACCATCCTGCACTTGTGAGTGAGTATGGTAATGGTGGCGCGGCCCGAGTTAATGTGAATGCAGATAGACGAAGCCACCTACTCTGACTCTTTTCGTTTATACGGTTTGCAAAGCTACACAATGTTGATTAAAATGCATCTTGTGGCATCTACTTTACCTAGAGAAAAATATATGCTTAGCTTCATGATATATCACTTTCTGAACATTGGCAAGAAGAAATAGTAGGGGAACTATTCCTGTTCGCGAATCAAGGTTCGATTTTGTTTTTATTAAAACATAAAACACGCTAAAATTTGGTACATTGTAAGGACTCGGAAACACAAATAACCCGAATACTAGAAGTTTTGAGCTTCGTTTATTTTTTATCAAAATTTAAAGATAAAGGTTTTATTGCGCTTACTAATATTAATTTAAACTTGATTTTTTTTTAGTTAAGAATAAATAGGTCGATATTTATGATTGAAATGTTGATATGTCTCGGTGTCCCAGTTTTCAATTATCTGGAAGTATGAACGAAACCAAATTCTTTCAATAACGGTTTGTGATTGTGACGTGAGTTAAAAATACAATTAACTTGATTATTTCAGTAATGCCCGAAAGACCCTATCACAACATTACAGAAAGAGCAAAGAAAAAGGGTAAGAAATCTGTTTATCTATCGCATGCAGCGTAAATACATCTTAAAATATCTGGTTGTTAGAACGATAATAGCAGAAAGTAAATATTTTGATTTTAAATTAAACACAAAGGGCAGCTTTTGTTCTGAACTGTCCCTGGGGATGATCAACTTTGCCTCGGTCCTAGTTGGAACAACAGTTAATGTCGGCATATTCCTGTCTGTCAATGACTGATCAAGTCAAACAACGAGCAATTATAACATTGCATTCACCCCTAAGCTGACAAGGAGGGGGAAGATTCGTAATCTCCCCAGCAATGAATCGCCTCTCTTTTATTACCAGACACCGCTCTCCGCGTTTGACCACGAGCAAAAAGAGTGATAACGTGGCGCAAGTACAAAGGTAGACTGGTTCAATAGGGGCATATTTTCCATCCCCCTGCCAGTGTTAGCGGTGAGCGGTACACAGAAGCCTGGGTGGCAATGGTTGACCGGCGGTCTGTGGGCCCGTATATATCATTCCATTTAGCGCTCTCAGGGCGACGCCATTTTGTTAGACCGTAGCGCCCTCTCCACACATCCGGGAAATTCAGCTGTTTCGGCGGGGCAAAACGAGAGGGAGGGCACGCGTCCGACTCTGCTAGCAGATGACAAACCTGGAGGTTGCCGTTTTCCATCTTTGGGCTGGGCCGGCGGGCTGTACCGAACATCGAACCCTCGCTCGTGGCTGCCGTCATGAAGTGGTTCGCCTTCTTAGAGTATTTATGATTACTCAAAAATCAGCCTGTTGTTTTATTTCAGTAAATTATCAACTAGCGTATCTTTGTTCTGTTACTTCAATAGCATTGGAGTCAGCCGACACCTCAACCACTGCGTCTGTTCTGCCAGGAGAGCGCGTTCCTATTCATTTTTCCAGACTTCCACTTATTGTTGCTAAAGGTCTACACCAGTACGGACTTCGTATAGTAAAACAGCTACAGCAACCGGATTTACTTTTCGCCGGAGCGACCGGCCACTCTGGCACAGTTTTTTTGCATTTTTTTTACTCGCACGCAGGTAACATAGCAATTAGACTGGGTTAGTATTTTCATCGAGAATTGCATTACATGATAACTTGCATATCACTATAGATGGATCTGCGCTTGAAATTTTCAAAATGGCGCGATTTTAAACCGACTTCGAACGCCATCCGGATATTAGGTACAGCTCACTCGACGGAGCAGACCACGCGCGGGGTGAGAGAGGGAGGGCATCCTTTCTCTCTCTACTCTTCCTAGTGGAATGGTCTATATGACACTTATATATGAATTCCTAATTTGAACATATATATATATATATATATATATGAACGAATATGTGCAGATGAATGAACCGTACTTAATCCAATGAATCAAAAAATCCAAGTTTCCGGGAACCCGCCGAAAGCCAAAAATTGGCGGAGCCAGGATTTGAACTCTGGGCCTCCCAATGTCCGGTCGGGTGTGCTAATCACTACACCACTCCACCTTGGCTTTCTGGCGTTTCCTACCTGTCTTATTAATGCACAAGAAACGAAATGTGTCCAATCGGAGGTGTTCTGGAAACACACGCCGCCGCGTGGAACGCGGTACGACGCTTAGTGTCACGTGGTACGTGCTCGTTTGTGCTCCAGAAATCCTCCCACTGTTTGTCTCGCCCCGTGTACATGTAGTATTCTTTGTTTATGAGCTATATATATATATATATATATATATATATATATATATATATATATATGAAACGTCACATAAGACTTTCCTTGTTTTTTTCAGTCAATTGATCTTTCTTGTATGTATATATATGTACATGGTTATATATTCAGGGTGCCCTAAACCAAGGTACATAGTTTTTCCCCCGCAAGAATACACTGCGCATCGCCAAATCCTTATTTTTCACCCATGTGTAGCGCTAGGCGTCCGAAACAAATACCAAAGTTAACGGCACTAACCTTTACTTAGTCAATGGTTATAAGCGATATTCAGAAAATTTCAATGGAAAAATGGCGGTCGACGGAGCTCTCCAATACATGTAGCTCTATGGCGCCAGAAACCTCAAACGGGCAAATATGGGTCTCATTTTTTTATCGAAAGTTTCACGAAGTCATCTATAACTTTAGAATAAAATATCATGTTAAAACTTTGTCGTCTGGTCCTCAAATCTAGTGCTACATTTGAGCGGAGAAAAAGCGTTCGGCGCTGCATATTTTTTTTTTTTTTTTTGCGGTTGAAGACAACACTTTGCGTTTTGTTTGGGACACTGCATACCTGCTCGAGAGTGAATAAATCGAATTTGTCTGCTTTCGCCAGGTACTAACAAGTCAGCAAAAATATACCCCGAACTATTTGTATTGGTTGACACAGTATTTTTCGGGGAATTCGGAAACAATGAGAAATTGATAAAATATCTATGTCGCACATTCAACGCGGTGAGTAGGATTTGATATTGCCCGCGTTTTTTTTATTTTTTTTTTTACAGCAGAGTATTATGCACATAGTAAAAATTCACTCCAAATTTCTCGATAGACCCTCAAGTACTAATAGGACCTAATTTTCTTCGATGGGACTATAATTCGCATACAACTTCGTGACAATTTCTTGAAAAAAATGGCGAACATATGAGGTGCATTTTTGGCATTGACACTTCAAGAAGCACAACACGCGGCTTATTATGTGAACACTTGTTGCTTAGGCGTGAATTGTTCACGGGTCTTCTTTTCGACTAATGGCTCTTACTGACTGTTGAGCGATAATGAGATGATCGGGGGCTTGCCACGCCCTTGAGCAGTCAGAAACAACAGTCGGGCAGACCTGATTTAATGAGTTTGCTTTTACGAAGAGAAACTATAAGATGCTCTTTGAAAAATACACTATTGGCACGAGGGCATGACGCACCCAAAACTGCAATTTTTTTCACCGATATGCTTGAGATGCAGTTGCTGCTAGTGTGAAGGTGAAACGACGTTCGGTGTTCACGGTGTTTTCTTTTAATAGGGAGTTTTAGCAGGTCGTTTCCACACGAACGGTTCGCCCACGAACGCATCCGCGACGCCACTGCGCATGCGCGCGCGAGTCGTCCGGGGCGTTGGGAGGCTCTTCTCGTTTGTTTCTCCCATTCCGGCCGCTGGAGTCGTCACCGCAACGCAGCCAGCACCATTCACGACTCGGGTAAAAAAAAAAGATGGCGGTCAGTTCGGCGACCGCCTTCGCCGACCCAGCCGAGCGTTAGGCTTAGGACAGCGGGAGGCGATTTGCCGTCCTGTTAGTCTGCTTCATTTGAGAGGTGGAACCAAATCATTTTGAGGATTGCTCACAATAGTAAGCGATCGTGAATGCGGTAAACTGCGCATGCTAGTAAATTTTTGCGATCTGCGGGCAGACTAGCTGCCGTGCCGACCGCGAGCAGACGAAATGATTTGGTTCGACGACACACAACGTGAACGATCGTTCAAGTTCGAGATGACGGAGACACACCACATACCTTTACGGTCGTTCAGACACTTTTTACTCTATCTAGCTTCGCAGTTCTTGAAATTCGGACCGTCAAATGTTACGTCGGCCGTCTCGTTTACATCAGTCGTATACGCCGGAAACACGAGCCGCCACCGCGGTGTCCGCCACCGTCGCCATGGATTTACAAGTTGCAGAACGTTTCACATGTTTACTAGAAGATGGCGCCACCGTTAAGCACTATCATCATCATCCTTTACACGGTCGCGCCACTTTCACGATTCGCTAAAGAATGTCAAATTTGACGTACGGTTTCACGGAACGGACCAGCTGGGCCGTTCGTGATTTCGGAACCGTGTGCTTGAAAAACGACTCGCTAAAACCCCCTAATGGGACCGCATTGTTTACACACAAAAAAAAAGGACTTGCGCTATGTCCTTTTTGCCCTGGGGCTAAGTTGGCGTCTGTGAGGGTCACTAGAAAAGGGGAGAGATTGGATAATTAGTTTTAGCTAATTAAAAATAAAGCATCTTGAGTAACATCTTAACTTTTCAGAGTGTGGGGCACAATATAGATAAAGAATTAAAGTTTTGCCTCCTTAGTATATAGTCGTAAACGTAAGAGGGGTATTAAAACATTCATAGTAGGTCATATATTGAACCAAAAATGTCACCTTTCAACGCGGCTCCGAACTGAAACTAGGCCAGCGAAAGGCGCCCCTGACGCCGATCCCTTTGGTTGGTGCTCGAGTTGTACCATAGCCTCCTCTATACTAACAAAGCCTGGCAGTTCGACGACGGAGTCATAGAGAGTGACCGGTCGCAGATTTGGAGCGCGAGGATCTGTTGGCACAGAGCATCAAGGCGCCATTTCTCGAGGAACCTGGACGTCAGCACACAGCTTTTGCAGCGGCGAGGACCCGAAACACAATTGTTCGCTCGGGAGAAGTGTGTTTCGGCGTCTCGCCGCAGCGGGGCGCCAGTCACGTAGCTCTCTTCTCATCCGTTGTCTGCCGCTCCACATGTTTCCATTTCGGCGGCTGCTTCTAGTGGCGATCTGCCGGGCTTTGTCAGTATATAGGAGACTATGGTTGCACTGATGACTTGCCCAGGGGCGCGGTCACGCGGGTTGTGAAACAAATGCAGGGCGTAGCCTGGGTCGACGTCATGGGCGCCCTTCGCTGGTTCAGTGTCGGTTAGACCATTGCGAAAAATCGCCACCTACGGGCTGTCGTCTTTGTCTGCTGAACTGTGAAACGCCTTCTGAGAATGCGCTGGAGCTGTGCTGTGCGGTATATCAGACGCTGCGCATGCGTACACAGCTCAGTGACTCAGCATTTTTCGCTCGGGTGATGAGCGATGCAAATGTCTATAAAGCCGAGCGCTAGAATGACGTTTCTGGTCCCATGGCCATTCTATTATCTAAATCTTTGAAGTGATTTTCTTAAATGTTAAATGGGAAAATGGCGGCCGACGGAGCTTTTGAGCGTGCGGAGCTGAATGAGACCGGTTACCAAAAACGGGTGAAAACGGGTCCCTTTTTCCAAATGAAATTTCTGACAATCACTCATAACTTTTGCACGCGACAGTGGTTCATCGGGTTCGTATCGTTAGGGCGATATTTAGACGTAGACGATGCGTAGTTTATTTTTGCAGAGAAATAAAAAAAAAGCCTGTACTTTTTCCTTTTCTTTTGGGGGGGGGGGGGGGGGCAGCCCGTAGTTACTGAACAGGGCTTAATATCTGCAATCTGATTGGCTGCGAAGCAATAATAAGATTTTCAGGACTCTTCATGCCTTGCGTTTTTGAGAATGACATTGTCCTTATAGCCAACAAACCTTAAGATTGAGCGCGTCTATCAGTCACGATTCGATAGCTGAATGACTTCGGTTCCTGATTACGAATACTCCACTTCAATTTTTCCTCTAATATGAGCGAGAAGTGTTGCCTCGCCAGCCTGAAGTGGTGTATAGTAATCAGAGGTTGTCATTTTTGGCCGAACTCACTCACAGCTAGCTAAAAAAAGAGGTTAAATATAAATGCTCACTCACCCTCATCCTCACGACCGCACTCACCTTCAAGTCCTCACCCACGATCTCATCAAGTCAGCGAACTCACGAACTCATGCCCCTCGCCAAGACCGGACCATAACCTCACAGACCTCACAACCCGTCTCCGCCCCCCCCCCCCCCCCCCCCTCGGACTCATGAAATCACCGAACTCACAAACTCACCGAACTCATTTACTCACTGCGCTCATAAACTCACCGAGCTCTTGAGCGCACTGAAGTCACGCCCCTCACCAAACTCATGGTGCTCACAAACTCGCGCCCCTCATCGAACTCATGAACTCACCGACCTCGCTCAATCCAGAAGTAGTTCTCGCCCTCTCTGAAGTCGCGGTGCTGGCGCTCGCGTTGGGCGCGGGTGGCGCGAGTTGCGCGGCTTTTACAACTGCTTCACGGTCGCTGCTGCCTAAAGGGGTGTCCGAACAGGACACTACAAAACGCACGACTCCGACAAATCGTGAAAATTGAAGCGGACGCGCCCGCTTCAAGCCCGCTTCAATTTTCACGATTTGTCGGAGTCGTGCGTTTTGTAGTGTCCTGTTTGGACACCCCTTTACGCCGCTCCGGTGCCAGCCGTCATGTTGCCAAGTAATGTTTTGTCTTTTTGTTTGGCTTCGATTTTTTCCGCGCCCCTGCCGCGCGCCGGCCGAGCTCTTGAGGAAGGCGCGCCTTGTTAGGGACTTAAGAACGCATCATCGCGAGTTTCGTGACGGAGTATTCTTCACGGTGTGGCACTGCTTGTTCCAAGTATTCGCGACAACTGCGTGAAAGTAGGGAGTGAGCGTCTGCATCGCTGTTGATGCAGGTGTGAATTATCATTATTCCAACACGCACCGTGGGCCTGTATTTTTTTCTGCATAATACATTGCCAACTTTCTATTGGTAGGACGGTTTGCTTGGCCAATTCGTTGTCGAGTAGAACTGTTTCGAAACAGTTTTCCTCCATGTTTATCGTCGTTCACACAGATCGTTTCTTGTAAAATACCTGCCTGGCGGACACTTTTTGTTTTCTGGAAGACGGAACGATTAAAGAACTTTGTGCGCACCATAATATTGTATAATAATACTTGTTATCGCGTCTCTCGTTTTCTGTTGCACCACTCATATTAATTACATCTGGAACATTCTAATCTAACGACTCTGTTCCTCGTGAAATGCTACACTTTATAGATCCTAACATAAAATCATGATATTATGTTAGGATACCTTAGGCATTATTCTTGCTCGGACAATGTGTGCATGTATTCTAACTTGTCAATATATTAAATACAAATATTTACAAACTGCATGCACAAAGCTGTGTTTTCTATTAAAATCATTTATTCTTTTTTTATAGATAGTAATTTCTAAATTGTCGTCAATAATTTCAATAAATAAGTGGCCTGCTTTTGTAAGCGAAAGTTCTTTTACCTTTGATATTTACATTACTTTTCAGTTGTAACCATTAGAAGCATAACTCAAAAATCCACGCTATTTTGAAAAGGGGGATGAACGCGATCATGCAACTTAATTAAATGGGGTACGATTATTCATGATTTGTTTTGTTAGATAAAATCAATTCGGGCGCTTAATTTACTCAGGCGAGAAAGTTTGCTTCCGTGCACGCACGCGCTTGCACGCATATCAAATATATTTTAATTACTTAGGTTTGGGTCTTATTTTCTCCCCCTTCGCACTGTTATTTACTAGCATGTATAGATCGTACTGCTGAAAATGCAAATAGCACTCCACATAAACGACTAAGACTTGACTAAGAACGCTGAAGTTCTCCGTCAGCCACCCAGTCCAGTGTGGACTCACCTCGTTCTTCCTCCACACCTTGCTGCCTTCACAACCGAAAGGCCTAGGCTTCATGGCAGCGGACCCAAAGCACGTAGAGGACACCAGAAAATCGCCAAGTATGTTATTATCG